ATCTATCTACACGTGCTCCTGCTTCCAAGGTTTATTGATGGGAAAAAAAACCAAAACACTCCATTCCTTTCTAAAGGCAACCCCTTTCTTTGGGTACCAGCCCCATGTCATTTGGATTTACTTCTATGATGAGAAACAGTGACCTTGTTTGTTTACCCTTCTTTCTTCATTTGTACAGAAACCATTTCACAGGTGGAGGTTTTTTTTAATGAAAAATCCTTATTCAATGGGAGGTAAAAAATCAGAGATAATAGTAAAACATAAATGCAAACAAGTATGTGGGAAAAGTTAAATAATGTTTAATTGATGGATTGAACTGCTTGCAATAGTATCTCTTAGAAGCTCTTCTAATACTGTTAACTAGATAAATTCATGCTTCCCGAAATTTAAACTAGGATGAAGATGCTTCTTTGAAACATGTTTGAACTCTCCTCATGAATCTCAGAAGAACAGAAACCTGTTTGTGAAGAAGTTCAACATAACTGTGAAGCATGGATGTTTACTTCTTTACCTGTGTTATTGCCATGAACAGTATGAAATAACCCAAAAGGTAGTGATATCTTTCTGGAGATGCTTAATATTTGTAATAATCAAATTACTATGACACTGAGGTAAGCCATATATTACAGTAATGTAAAAGGAATTATTTTAAAGTATATACTTTGGTATGACCTGCTTTTTTTCTAAGAGACTAGAATGAACATAAAAGTGAACATTCATACTTTCAGAGTTTCTAAAATGCAGAAATTGGTAGCAAACCTTTATATTTACAACTGAAGAGGTTATTTGAAATAACTATTATATTTTCATGTAGGTGTACACCGTAGTTTATAGCTTATACAAGGCCTTTTATTTCAGAATTGTGAAAATCTGAATGTATCTTCTCCATTATTTTCTGTTCTGTTCTGCCAGTCTGGATTGCACTGTGATTTTATAGTCAGCTTTCAGTGGAGTGGTTAACAGCAAACCTTGCAGAACATATACAGAATTAAATTTCAAACTTCATGTGGTTATTAGTGAGACACATTTCATACCAATATCTCACTTCAATAGCGAGAAATGCAATAGAAATTTCAATAGAAATGCAATTTCGATTTCAGTAGAAAAAAATGCACTTATCTCAATAAAATTGCAACAGTATTGTAGAGGTGTGAGATCAGATCTTGTAGACTGAATGGAATTACCATAAATATGGATTTAATCCACACACTCTTCAACTTCCAGGTACTTGCAAGAGATATCCAAGAAGGGACTGATCTGCATATGCATATATTAATGTGTACAAATGCAAAAAAATAACAGAATCTTTTGGCCTGGAAAAGACCTTCAAACATCAAAAATACAACCATAAATCAAGCACTGCCATAATCATCTCTAAACCATATTCCCACATGCCACATCCACACACCTTTTGAATATTTCCGGGGATGGCGACTCCACTACTTTCCCTGGGCAGTCTTTTCCAAAGCCTGACAACCTGACAACCGTTTCTGTGCAACTCATTTCCCTAATATTCAATCTAAACCTCCACTGCTGCAACTTCAGGACATTTCCTCTTGTTCTGTCACTTGTAGCCTGGGAGAGAAGACCAATTCCAATTCGGCTGCACCCTCCTGTCAGGCAGCTGCAGAGAGCAGTGAGGTCCCCCCGAGCCTCCTGTTCTCCAGGCTGACCCCCCCAGCTCCCTCAGCTGCTCCTCACAGCCCTTGTGCTCCAGCCCCTTCCCCAGCCCCGCTGCCCCTCTCTGGACACGCTCCAGCCCCTCAATGTCTTTCTTGCAGTGAGGGGCCCAGAACTGAGCCCAGGGTTGGAGGTGTGGCCTCAGCAGTGCTGAGTGCAGGGGGACGGTCACTGCCCTGCTCCTGCTGGCACAGCAGTGCTGATCAGGCCAGGGTGCCATCAGCCTCCTTGGACACCTGGGCACACCCTGGGGCACGTTCAGCTCTCTTGACCAGTACAGCCAGGTCCTTTTCCTCCAGGCAGCTTTCCAGCCACTGCCCCCAGCCTGTAGCCCTGCCTGGGGTTGCAGTGACCCAAGGGTAGGATGCAGAATTTGGCCTTGCTGAGCCTCATACAGTTTGCATCAATGCAGCAATGATGGGAGGAAGCAAAAACAGAGCAGGAGACTACTTTTAAGGAACAAAAGGTTCTGTATTCAATTTTTTACATAGGAAAACCTATTTAAATGCTGACAACTAGATTTAGGGGTTTTGTTTGTTTGTTTGTTTGTTTTTGTTCAGAGTGGTTCCAGAGAAACTGAGCAGCTTCCATGCTTGGAGATATTAAAAAACCTGACTTGACATGGTCATTGAGCAGCCTTCTATTGATGACTCTGTCTTGAGGAGGGGTGTTTAAGTTCTTGAGATGTCTTCCCACATCTATTCTCTGATTTTGTCAGTTTCAGTTACAGCTGACTTCTTATTTGCTTGACCTTGATATTTATAGATTATCAATTGCCAAATTAAAAAAGCATACCATTTAAATATAATTTATCACCTATCCCTGTTATCAGAATTAGTATCCAGCTACACTGCCTCTCTTAACTCAGTTTTGTGCCAGAGTTTGGTATAGGCAGAAGATTGGATAGGAGTGAAATTATTAGTGATTAATTTATACCATTTATATGATGTGATCTGAAAATGCTGTGAAAGATAGGCAGAGATTACATCAAATTGTTCTTACCTGCCTCAGGACAGTTCTAACTTAGGATAAAAAAATAAAACCCAAGCTGTAAGCTGAAACAGATAGTATCTGAAATAAATTATGATATAATCTACTGCTCTCTTTGCTGCAAGGTTACCCCAGTGCCTATAAACATTCCTCAGAGATCCACACTGTGTTTAAAAGCTGCGAAGCATTTGTAATTTAAGGATTTGTTAAAGCTATTCCTTACTGCTCACTTCCTCCAAGAACAAGCCTTTAATCTTGTCAGAAGTTTATGACTAAATAAAAATTCTTAACTGAAATTTTTAAAGGATTTCAATCTGGTGAGGTACTTTAGCCCAGAGAGCTGCTTACAGGCAGGAAATTTGCCCTTTAGTTTGAAAACAAAAGGAAAACTGTTATAAGACCTTTTTTCTTTTTCTTGTAACTAAACCACCACCACCAAAAAATCCTATTAAAATAAATCAAGTATTAAAACTGTAACTGGAAAAATGTTATGCATCTGAATTTTCTGAGTTTGATACCTGCAGCCTGCATAGTTATTAGGATAATAAAGCATCAAATGCAATTTTATATTTATGTGGTCATTTAAATATATGGGATACTGGCCCAAACAGGATCTGAGAATGAAATGATATCTGGAGAACAGAACCAGTACAGGATACAGGATTTTAATCAGCTTCTATTAAAAACAGAATAGATCCTTAATTTCTTTTTTATACATACCTACTGGTGCCAAATCCAGCCTGAATGAATAAGGGACACACAGATCATGTTCCATACACCCACAGAGAGATCAAAACACTCTTGAAAGTCATGCAGTGACAGTTATGTGAAGTTTTTCCCCAACAATGGCTATGGTGGTTGCCTGAAATTTTTGATGGGCCAAAAGGGAGCTAAGTAAAAGGGTTTGCTTTTTGTTGAATGGGTGCTCAGGGCTTTATCACCGATTCCTTTGAAGTGCTGAGTCCAGAAACAAAGAAAGCCAGCTTGTCTTGGAATTTGTATACCAGTACTGTGTGTACTAATGCATTGCATGTGCCTGAGGTTATTCTCCTACTCCAAGAACAACAGCCACAGGACAGCCCACATTACTACCATTCACCCCTTGCTCTCTAAGTCAAGGTGGGCACATGCATGGCAGGTGGCCTCTGCCAGATCCTCGTTCATGCCCAGTCATGACCAGGCTGACAATTCAGCAACATGGTGATTGTATTTCAGGGCCTGAGAACACTTCTTGACACAGTTTTCCCTAATACATATGCAGTCTACATATCCCTTTTAAGAGCAAAGCCTCATAATCTGATAATAAGTAAGTTACAAACATGGAACTACAATTCTCTCTCACTCATTGGAACATGCTTAAGGCATGAGGGGATGAAATATGAGATGTAAATAAATGGCAGACTTCACAGAATTGGAATTGTGATTTGGGAATTATAATTTTAAAGTTACAAATAAGAATGCATGTGATTGCTCAACTTGAAAATAGATGGCAACGTGGGAAGTCAAATAAAATTCTTCACTCCAGATCTGCTCTGAAAACTACAGTGATTGTCATCCTGAGGACTCCTAACAGACCTCCTACACCTACACTGCACGTGAAGGGCAATTTCATCAGGCCCTTCAGTGCACGGTTACCCCAGAATACAACTGTGACTTCTCAATAGTGTTTCTTTATCATGATTGCTTTGTACTGCCAGCTAAACACCCCTTTGCTTTACCATTTGGTACATGATTTGAACTAACAGAAGGAAACAAGAAACATAACCCAGAAATCTGTGCTTTGCTCAATCATAGACAAAGATGTTAAACCATAATAATGTTCCCTGCCAACATAATGAAAAACAGTGAAATGTTCACATCCCAAAAAAACAGCTGCACATACAGGTGTCTGCGCCAGATGCTTCCCTAAGCACAATGCGATAAAAGTGATTATTCCTCACTCAACAGAGAACAGTCCCTAAGCAGGGTATTTAAAGAAGGATGATAACACAGGTAATTAGGAGCCCCATGCTTTATACACAAAGCAATGATGAAGAGAGTAAAGCTGAGAAACACCTGTCTTTCCATGTGGACTTGTGTTTTTATTTGTGAATTTATCATAAAAGGGGCAGTTTTCAGTCTGATTTCTCAGTGAGATCCTACCTGGAAATTGATTAAGGATTGAATGACATGTCCCTGGTTTTAATGGGTGGTACCTTGCCAAAAGGAATCCAAAAGGAACTTAAGCACCAGAATGTAACATCTGACTGATGGACTTCCCTATGAGGAGTGAAGGAACATCCTTCCTTTTCACAAAGTATGCGTAAGTATGTCCCAAAGTCTTTTCCTACCTTTGGACTTCCTGTCATGGTAGCTCCTGCCTCGATAATGGTGCCCACTGTCTGTGTACAGATTCTCAAGATCTTCTTGCCAGGAGTCGGGGTTAAAGTGTTTGAGCAGATCCTCCACTGTGTCAAAGGCAGCAATGGTCTGATCCAGTGCTTCTGCCGTGAGCGTAGGGTCAGTCACTGATGGAGAGGGATAGGATACCCCCTAAGAGTGACATACATCTCAGTGTACTTGGAATAAATAACAGCACCACTTTAAACAACTGAAAACAGTTATTGACAAGCTTGTTTCATTATTGAGTGAAACAGTTACTTCGGGCCATCTTTTCAAGTCTTTGGACTTATACCTGTGTTTTCTTTTTATAAAAAGAGATACCAAGAAATTCCCAAGCAAATCCCAGAGGAGATGCAGGGAGCAAAAGCACAGCCACTGGTGGACTGTCAGTATTTATACGCACTCCTCAAAGGGAATGATGGTTTGCACATATAAAAAGATGTAATGAAAATGTCTTTTGAAAGCACTGTGATGGCCACGGCCACAGAAATGGAGATGCCAGATCTGATGCTTATTTCACATGAGGCAGACCAGAAACCACAGCAGAGAAAGAAAAATGGAAGAAGTCCACTATACTATCTTTCTCCGGTCAGTTTGGACAAAAAATTTGGCATGGTTAGAGACTTGGAAAAATGGCCCTTTATTACCCAAAATTAAATGTATTACAAAACAATGATGAATTAACATTGAACTGACATTTTACCAAAAAATACAACTTAATAAACAAACAGAAAAAACATGGTATTTGGATCTTGGAGATGTTGGTGGGTGAGAGGTTGGACATGACCTGGCAATATGCTTGCAGCCAAGAAAGCCAGTGGTGTCCTGAGTTGCATCCAAAGCAGCGAGGGCAGCAGGGCCAGGGAGGGGATTCTGCCCCTCTGCTCTGCTCAGCCCCACCTGCAGGGCTGCATCAGCCCTGGGGTCCCAGCACAGGGAGGACAGGGACCTGTTGGAGTGAGTACAGAGGAGGGACACAAAGATGATTAACAGGATGGAGGAAAGACTGTAAGAATGGGAATTGTTCAGCCTAGAGAAGAAAAGGCATTAGGGTGACCTAACTGTGGCCTTGCAATTCCTGAAGGGAGCCTACAAGAAAGATGAAGAGAAACTTTTTACAAGAGCAGGTAGCGATAAGACAAAGTAGAACTGCTCTAAAATGAAAGAGGGAAGATCGGGATTAGATTTGAGGAAGAAATTCTTTACTCTGAGGGTGGTGAGACACTGGAACAGGTTGCTGAAAGAGTCTGTGAATGCCTCATCCCTGACAGTGTTCACAGTCAGGTTGGAGAGGGCTGTGAACAGCCTGGTCCAATGAAAGGCATTCCTGCCCACTGCAAGGATTGAAACTAGGTGATCTCTAAGGAACCTTCCAACTCTAGACATTCTATAATTCTACAATCTCAGCAATGTAACAATGAATATTTGGATGACTAACACAGTAGTATCCTCACAATTATAACACTGAATGGAATAATTATTTTCCATCAGTACGGACCAAGTACTGTTCTCTGAGTGTTCCCACTGAACTTCAGGCACAATTTGACTTTGACAGAATGCTTGCAGTATTTTCAGTTTTATTGGAGATGACTTGAAACATTTTTAAAATTCTTAATTTAGAATCACAATATTCACTATCCTGGTATCACTTTTTCCCTTATCCAAGCACAAGGCTGAATAGTATGCAGAATATGTACAAGAAAAACTATTAATACAGATCTCTTACTTTCTGAAGGATCACAATCAGTTTTGTCCAAAACCAGGCATATTTTAGCACACAAAATGTTTGGTCTTGTAAGTTAAACATTGGGGAGAAACCCCATGAAACTGAAATTCTTTCATGAAAACCCAGCTCTGAAGTAATCCTGCAGAAATATGCCAGGTAAAATGAATGGCTTCCCAAAATATTTGTTGTGTCTCAACTCCCAAGTAAACACATACGTTAAACTATTAACCTTTGTGATTAACTTCATTCAGTTGGGTCATAATGGGAGGGTCAACTCATTTGAGTAAATTCACTCACTTCTTCGCAGGATTATGTCCTTCAATTCTTCCTACAATGGCTTTAAAGTATATATATGTGTGTGTGTGTGTGTGTGTGTGTGTGTGTATTTTAAAATAAAACACTTGTCTTTAATGGCAAACTGTATCAGAATACTAACAATTCTTGATGTTTTCCTGCATATGTTTGCTGGAAATATGGACAGTCCAAATTATTACAAATGAGGAAGAGAAGAAACAGCAAACATAACAATAGTGCAGTCAAGAAAGCATAGCTACACTTTACAGCTCACCACCAACAGCCCAAGAAGTTTCAGTGGGCCCACCTGTGACTGCAATGCCTCCCTAGTGCACTGCCAAGACACATTGCAGAGGCCTGTATAAATTCACAACCACTTAAAAATGAAGGCACACCTTGAAGCCTCTATCCTGCTTCTAAATGGCTGGGAATAGAGAGGTGGAAGTCCCACAGTGGAAAAACTCACACCAGCAAAGTGAACACAGCATTGCTATCTAAAGCAGTGTTGCAGGAGAGACTGTGCTGCTGCCAGCATCACACAGTATGCTAACACAGCTGCTGGGGCTGCAAAAGGAAAAGGCACCTTAACGCCACTTTCTTACTGAGGAGAGCTTGCTGGAGCTCATGGCAGTCCAGTAGGGAAGGATCAGCCCCTGAAATATGGTCCAAGGATGTTAAAGAAACAGGAGCATAAAAATCAGGCCACAGGTTTACTCAGTGCAGAAAGTTTTTTTCCCACATGTTCAACTGTACATTTCATTACAGAAGGGGAGGTCAAGCTGTGAATATGTAGGGCATTTCAAACTCATACAGGCAGCTGGGATTCCCCATTTTCTTTTCAAATAAAAGCTCCTACTCAAGAGATTTGTGCAGCCTCGTTCAAACACAGAAGAAAGCTTAACTTTTCCTCAGTGACAGCCAAATCAAGAGGAATTATTTCAACAGCTTAGATAGCCTCCTGGCAGCAACATCATGTGACAGGCCCAAAAGCAACTTCAAAGCTGCCAACCCAACTGCCTCTCTTTTGTCCTGCCAAGAACGAGGCACTGGTTTTCAGAGAGTTTGTGCTTGTCATAATCTGACTTCTGAGATCATATCCAAAGAAGGAGCAAGAGGAAATGTAAGAAGCAGTGAGGAGCAAAGATTTTCCACATTATGTACCTCCTTTGCATTTCTTAAAAGCACTGAGTACATTTTTAATTTACTGGAACACAAAGGTATCTTTTTTTGGTATGTGCTCTTGCCCTTAATTTTTGTTCACTCATTCTTTTAACTTTCCTTTCTCTATTGTGAGCCTGACAGGCAAAACAATGTGAATCATAGTTTTCTGTTGGTCATAAAATTGCTTTACATATAATGGAAACTAACCTTATAAGGAGTTAGATTTTGTTTCCTTTTTTTTTTTTTTTTTTCCTGGGTTTGCCATGATGGGTTAAGGGTAGAAGCATTTTTTTAACTTTCTGAGGAAAAACCCACACAAAAAAAACCCAAACCAAAATATAACTCTGTAATATGACCTCAGATATGGAAGAAAGAATTTGCTCACTCTAAAATTTTTATTCTGAGAGTTGTAATGTGTGTATATCCTTAAATGAGTCGTTGGGTTAATTTTGAGTTTGAGAGAAGAAACTCAGACCTGCCATGCTACCTGAGCATCAGCAGAATTGTATGTCATCTGGTCCACGACTCACAGGTCTGAGTTTGTCCTTCTGCCTCTCAAGACCATAATAGCATCCCTGAATCTTTTCTCTCATGAAGAACTTGGATGTCCTCAGATATTTTCCTCAGTGCCTTTGTGAAAAATTGCTCAATCTCCCTGCCTTATTTTCTCTGAGGATAAAAAGGACTTGTGGGTCGAATGTGCTGGAGAAAGTATATTTTAGTAGATAGGAAATTACATGGGAAAACCAATGAAACCAAGGTTCAGCTTCTGGTTTAGATGTAGGTTTCCATGTGACCTTGGGCATCAGCTTGCTACCTGTAATATTTGTATTGAACTTCCTTAGCTGCAACACATTAAAACAATTTTTAAGGAAAAAAAAAGAATCTAAAAGATGAACTTCATATTTCAATATGAAAAGGATACTGGGTTATTGTGTGGTATATTGTGCTTTTTCTGATATTAAGGATGATAACTAACATGGTGTTTACCATAGGCTTAGTCTCATTTACATACTTACCTGATGAGGGAGCCCTAGGCTTTCTCAAACATCAGCCTACCATATTTTTGAACAAAATATTCCATCACATTGATTTTTTCCCCCCATGTCCACATTAGAATGAAAAATGAACTTGTGTCTTTTAGTAAAACTGTTCTAGCATCTCGTGCTTGGCACATCCAGCAGATCTCATCCCTGCTAACATCACTCCTCAAGACTTTCAGCACAGTTGGTTCCAGGCAATCAGTGAATCGTATAATGAAGGGCAAGTGACATTTGCAAATTCAAGAGTAAACACATGTGAGATTGGTTTAATATCTTCAAATTTCGGCAACACAGACTTTTCTCTCTACTTGCTGACTTGATTGGACCCTGATAAGAGAATTTACCCATATTTTATTTACTGCTCCTTCACTAGCTACTCCTGGCAACTACTGTAACAAAAGTGCTATCACTAAGCTCTCTTCCATGAGTGCTTCAGACACTGGTCTCAAGTCTACTTTACGCATTTACCCCCATCTCATGTGTTTTAAGAGGAGTTAACAGCACTGGGAAATGGCAGAGAGGACAGATTTTTTTGCCAATGACACAAATCAGATGTAATTAAGAGAAATTTTTTTTCTTTTATTAGATTACTTGGGTTTTCTTCTTTCTTGATTTTTCTCCCAAGTTGCAATTCACTGCTGAATATGGAGTAACTGTATATAGATATACAACTACAGTGTATATGTATATAGAATTTCAGATATAATATTTTATTGGAAACATTAAAAAAGTTCTCAGTATTGACAATGAAATGCCAGATCCATTTTCTTTCCAGCCTGCTTTACATATGGTCTTCCACGTAAGTCAAGACATTCAATGATTAAAAATTTTAGGTTTGTATCTGGTATTTTCATACTGGCAGGATGAGTTTGAAAGCAAGAAATGTTTCCCAATGGCTGCCTCATGTGTTTACAGCAGCTAAGGGCATATTATCCCTAAAAGCATATTGTTTGAATCCAGTATCAGTCAGATAAAAACTTTATTAATCCTCTTTCAAAGGTGAATATGAGGTGAAATGGTTTCTCTGTACAGATGCCATTTTATTGAGTTGGATTCAAGCCACCCTATCAATCCATCCATGGGCAAAACAGTGAGAAATTACTTACTGAGACAGAGCTTGTGACTGACTCCCAGTTGGTTTCTGAGGCTGCATGCTGAAAATCATCCTAAGGGGAGAAACACACAGGAAAAATCACCATTAAGGCAATATCCTAAATTAACTACAAAATCTAAAAAATGTTTCAGCATTCAACATCTGTCACTTTTTCTGACCCTTTTTAATGCAGAAGTCCCTTGCTATGTGTCATCCTCAATAAAACTACTTCCATTCAGGTTCCTTCTTTTTCAATGTTCATAAACTCCTTGTGGGCTTGCTTGGACAAGAATGGGTGAATATTATTATTGTTATTGTTATTATTATTATTATTATTATCATCATCATCAACCACAATAACAGTAATAACAATACCAATCTGATATATGCTGCTTTGCATAGCAGGACCTAATCTGGTCAAGGACGTTACATTCAACTGCCAACATAAATATTAAACAACACCTCTGTATGTCTACAACCAGAGTATCAATGCAGTTGACAAACTGATCTGTTGGAAAGAATGTGAACATGCTAATTTCCTGGTACTACATAGTCAAGGTGAAAAGCAGGGTAATCTAATCCATCTGAAAAGTAGTCCTAACTGTACTGCTGTACTGCTTTTGGTACTTGTGCTGAACAGTACATAATCATCACTGCACTATGTTTTGTCACATCAAAAAACCCAGCCACAGTACATTCCCATTAACAGTTCCATTGCACAGAATCCCTGGGCATTTATGATTAATCTGAGCACAGGGGTGGGATTCATATCTATCTTTGGACAACTATGAAGCCAACATCTAAGCTAATTAGTCTTGTTTCCATTTACAATCAACTAAACCTGGCATTTCTGGGGTGCAAATCATCTGATCTGTTTTAGAAGATTTACTTGGGATGACAGTGCACCCTGAAAATGTATTTTTGTCTCCATTATCTCTATAAAAGGAACTTGGGAGGCTAATCTTAGATACAGATGTCAAAACTGTACATATTGACACGTGGTCACTTAATCCCAATCTACTTGTCTGACCAGTGATGAGCAATCACTACTTAAATAATGAAGAAGCCATTCCTTTAATCTTTTGGCATCTTTACTAATTTCCAATAGGAATAACTAAACTGTGAAAAATGGAAAAAAAAAAAGCAGCATTACAGAATGGTTATTAAACACACACATGCAGTGAATAGCTAATGATCGGCATGAATATGCAGGTAAGGCAAGTGGACTGAAGTGACAGGATACCAAGATTTTAATTTCTAATAATAGAATTTATAATGAAAAGTTTTAAGGAAGATGGATCAATGCCTTTGCTCACAATTTCATACTGACTCAGTGTCTGATAAGTTTTTTTTTAAGCTGGCAACTGAAAGGGGAAATGGAAAGGAAACCACACAGCTGATGCTTGTTAGACTTGATCCTGCATTTGACTACAGACACACACACATATATATATGTAAGCATATATTAAATTATTTCTTAGGAATGGAACACAGAAAATTGATCTCATAATTTGCTAACTCACCAATAGACTGTTCCTTTAGTCAAAAAGGAACAGAGCTGCTTTCAGATCCAGAATCAATATACTTGGTTTTTTAATGATTTTCATTTGCTATAGAAAAATATTTAAATATCTTAAAAGTCACAAGATTTTTTTTATTCAATACTGTTACTGTTTCTTCTTCTTCAATATTTAAGATTAATAGAAATTATTATTATAATCCCATCAATAAGTGACCACTGAAGCTGTAGAGCAATAAAAACATTAATAATTATGTAGTCATTTTCTAATAAGAATACAGAAGAAAAACACTGGAAAAAATTAATTGCAGATTTTTTTCTTAAAAATAGTCAAGAGATCTGCAAGCTATAATCAGATTATATACCATTCTGAATATGCCTCTCTTGGCTACATTCTCTATATATTTGGTTGCCCAGTTCTTGACAAGCAACAATTTAAATTAAATAAAAATGTATTTGAAAAGCTCATGAATCCTCTGGTAAAGTCTGCCAGTTGCAGAAGTCGAAAATAATTTTCTCTCTGTCATTAGATTCCATTTAGCACTTCCAGGAAAAAAAAGTGGCATTGAGTTCTAAAGCATTATTTTAAAACAGAAACAATTTGCTTCACTGAATGTTTTGAGAAGACTGTAGTCTTACGTTCAAAGGGATGGGCCACTTGGTTTACCTAAATGCGGATATCAAAACTGTTTCTTTAGTCTGTGATTCTTTGAGTTGGTTCATGCCAGGAAACCCCTCCAAAATCCTGATAGAGACACGTGTACCACCTGCTTCTTGGATCTCAAACCTGATGACTGCACATTTCAACTCTGATTATATTCAATCTGCATAAACTATTCACAACTCTATGGCTTTGTTCCACCACCACTCAAGACAGCTGCAGTCATTCTTGGCTTCTTGGCGCTTTCAACCTCTAGGGTTTGGAGATTATTATTATCTATGGCTTCTGCTTGCAGCTATTTCAAATAATAATATCAGAGTGGGTCTCATCATTACAAAACCCTCTCCTCATTCTCACCATTGCCCCTAGCAGAAGCTGAAGGACAATCTATTTTTGGTGCTATCTGTTCAATTCATTCTACCTCATTCATATGAATTTGACTGTGATTGCTTTGTTTTGCTGTTGTTTCTTCATTACTTAAAGCAACATTCAAACTTTCAGTCTGAACATTTAAAAACCCACCAAAATTGTCATATATTTTTTTACCAAATCAGGAACAACAGGGTGGTAATAATTTGGCTACATCACCTCGACAACAGTGTTTCTATTTTTGTATTTGTGTCATGGTAACATAAAAACTTCACTAGAAACCTCAGCAAAGCATTGAATTAACTGTTCTACAAGTAGCAAAAATACAGGCAAAACAACAGAACTACCAACCTCCTTCTGATAGCAGCTACACTATTCACTACAGTGAAGAAAAATGACTTCCAAACATCAACTTCCAAAATTACACCTCAGCAAGACAAATTCTGAGTCAGCCCTCAGAGTTAAATATGTATGGACATTGATATATTGTACCTGGCTCTGTTTTAGACAAAGAAAAGCTACTCTCTCCTTCGCAGGCGTACTTTATAGCCTATCTACCACCACTGATGGCCACTAAGTGACAAGGAGTCACAGGGAATAGTCCCTGTTTCACCCAGGACTTTCACAAGTGGAGATCATGATGCAAAATCACAGCAATCAATGATATATGAGACTGCAGAGCCAGATAGCACTGGTTCCTGAGGAAAATAATTTGCAACCTGCAGCAGCACAGGCTCTGCTGTGTTGAAGCCATGGAGCTTGGCAGGGTCAATAGGAACGGAGAGGCATCAGGAAAACACCTGGGATGTGGCTGAGAAGCTCGCCAGTTTGAGAAGCATGTTGTCATGGCTCACTTTGTTGTACCACCCATGCAACAAAATATGCGAGTCCTCCCAGCTATGCTGAGTTACTGCCTGGTCCTCAAATTAAAAGCAAGAGCCACTATGATTCTTCACCTTTTTCACTGTAGGTTAGTCTTTTGTCATCTGGGTGCATGACTACTGTGAGGAAGGATGCCTGAGATGGGCAATAACCACCACAGGATGGGCACAGCACACTGACAGCTCTCTCCAGTGCAAAGAAGCACCCCACATTTCTATAAGCTTCTCTGTCAATTCTTTTCCTTAATCTGCATGTTTATGGGGTAGTTAGATTATTTGGTAAAAAAACTGTTCATCTGACAGAACAACTACAAAATATTGCTCATGAAAGCTGAGGCAATTCTCTCCACTTCAGTGAGTGGGAAAGGTTCTCAAAGGAGTTGTGATTAAAAACTAGAGTCCAGGCAGCACCCCTGACTGATGATTTCAGCCCACTGGCTCAGAAAGGTCCGCTCCTAAAGGAGACACCTTCTCTACTGTGCCCTGCTACTTAGAAAAGAAGGGATGGAGAAAGGGTCAAAATACAGACATGTTCTTGGGGAAATAAGCATGAGAAAGGGGAAGAATGAAGTAAACTAAGAAAAAATTAAGACAGAGAAGCTGAAGTGTTGAGCTCTGCCTGTGGTCACCCCATTTGTGGTATTTAGATGCCATAATTATAAACAATCCAAAAGAAAAGCAGTTTTTAGAAATTTGTAGAAGAACAGGACTAAGAGATGTACTGAAACGCACAGAAGATCCTGCAGAAACAAATAATGGGTGAAGTGGGGCTTATTCAAAGGAGTTCAGTACAGAAAGAAATGGTGAGCTCTCCCTGGAATGAAAAAATTAGGGATGAAGGATAATGGAAGGTCTGTAGGGAAAAATTAGTGCAAATTGCAACTTAAAGAAAAAAGAGACAAAATTATTCTAACATTTAGATTAATAAACAGAAACTCAATGATACCCATTGTTGAACAACAATCAACATGTATCTATTGCATTCAGAGCTATGTGAAGACAGGTAGCTGATAAGCAGATAAACTTGTATTTGTATATAGTAACAACAAAATATAATAACCTGTAAATCTTTCCTCTTTTCCCTGCCACAAGCAATAGTACCTATATTTTCACTAACAATTAAATTTACAGATATTACATTTCTCCTATTAAGCAACACATATTTCAAACAAATGAATACCAAACTCAGAACATGCTGTGTAACAGAAATGGTGTTATATAAGTTAGAGGTAAAAGAAAAATCATAGTTCCATTCAAAAAAATGCTGTGATACATATTCAAGTTTGTACACTTTGACTGATTAAATTTATTTTCTCATGTAGCATTTTAGGGCACTCCAATTTCTATTAATACAAGCATATTAGATTTACACTTTGAAGTATCTTTTTCTTGTACCATACTTTCATTTTGCCACATTGCTGAGTATTAGTTTAGTACCAGAATGATAGTTATTAACACCTCCTAAGGATGCTGAAAGATACTTACAGCAGGCTACTAGGAAGCCAGAGGCTGCATTTTTCTTACAGTAATGGTCAAACTGCTGCTGCTCTGTTCAGCTCTGATGACCAGACATTAATAACAATAAAAGTTTCTGAATTCAGAAAGCAAGCAAATATGATGGTTCATAGTCTGGGAATCATGCC